TTGGTAATACCAAGTAACCACAATGTAGGAAATGTTTACCAATTTTCCTCCTTTCCCATCTCTCTTCCCTCTCTCTTTAATCTATTTTGGTAATTAAACAAAATGTTACCAAACAGAGTAAGAAAATAGCCAGCAAGAACCCCATCAGAGTATTCCTTAATTATACATGAGTGAGGTGTAAGGTTCAAAGAATCTATTTTGTTACATGTACTTCCAAAATAATTTTTAACTCATACATGCATAGATCAAAACTGCTTGTTTAAGCAACCAAAATTGTCACTAGACCGAATTAACATTAAATACATACATCCAAATAACCAAGCTCAGAAAAGCAACAAAACTAACATTCTAAAAAATAAAATTAAAGCGGACAAAAGTTGTACAAACAACTATATATCTCACATCACTGTGATTAAGCATGATCTACAGAAGAACAAACCTAATATGCTACTGAATCCACAACTTCTTTCCACCACCAAACAAAAGGCACAACTTTTTTTGTTTTATTTTGCAGGGGGCTTATAACTTCAGTGGTTAAGAGTAGTTATCTGTGCACCTAAAGTCTTGTTTCGTATCCCCCTCTCCCAATATCACATGTATAAAATTAAAAAAAACTTGCCAAAGGGCCCACAATTTGAGAGTGTGTGAGTTTGAAGTTATATAAATCCACACAACAAGATTTCCTAGCCTTGGATGGATTGGTACTTTTCTTTGGGGAAGGAATAAAGGAAGACAATTACAATCTAGAAGAATAGGCTATGATTGTAGTAGTAATCTACAGAAGAACAAACCTAATATGTATATGGATATATAGTACGGCTGAAGTAGAGGTCGAGATCCCTACCATGTTGGATGCCAATTTTGAGGTTACTCATTTTCATATAAAAGAATGAGCCTCTTTAATTCTTTTTTTCTTCTTTGGTTATGTTGGTATTCACACCATGTACCCATCCTAATTATAACTTTGGGCATCATGGCTTTAAGTGGGATGCCAATTTTGACATCAAGCTTGATGCCTTCAAATTAATGGAGTCAAAGAATTTGACTACTTATTTTAACCAATTTTATCATTCAATTCTTATCATTACATGTCACGTGCTATATCGATTGGAAATGCTCTTTCCAAACTCTCTCTCACCATTTAATTAAAGAATAAGCCTTCTTTAACCAATGTGGGTGGTGTATCGCATTGATCGTTAAGGTTAATTAAGACATCTTCTTGGTTTAGGGATCCTCTTCCAATCATTTACGATGTTTTAGTTGAAGATCTTTTGTAGTTTCGTTGTTTTAATGTTACCGCTCGTTTTCAAAAAGAAAATTTTTTCTTTACTATATTGAAGTAAAAAACCAAATATATATATATATATATTATGATTCTAGTCAAAATTACATCCAAGCAGGGCTTTAGCCCCCCTCTGTACCCAAAAAAAAAAATACATCCAAGCTAATTAGGAATCCATTAACTTTAAACGGTAAAAAAATAAAGTAAAACCTATTCCTAAAAATGTCCTAAATTCAATTTACCTCTCCCTCTCCCTCTCTTCATTTCTGTACTGAGCTTCATGTATTTAACCCCTAAACCTTGTAGGTATCCTCATTCTCCTCCATCGTTAACTGGTCCTCCCCATTCTTCAGCATTCCTCAAGCATGCTAATCGATGAGAGTGACTACTATTGCATCCATGTCCGGAAAACAACCGAAGAAACCACCCTCAACAACTTGTCCCAGAACCAGAACCAAGGAGTTCCAATCAAGTTCGAGCTCTACAGCTCGACTGACAACGCTTGGACGATGGCAGAAGATGATAATTTTGAACACCCTGTACGAATTATCCAAGAACCACTCGACCTCATCACTGAAACAACCATTAGGGTTCCTTGTGCCAGCTCTGTCGAGCTATTATCCAATACGAGCAGGCACACAGTAGTCCCCATGGTCACTGAGGTTCTCAACACTCTAAACATCCCAGAACATGAGCACCAATCTGTTGTTGACAAACTATTTAGTGCGTTTGTTGAGTCTCAAGACCTCACCATTGAGCCTGATAATGTTTTTGTTGTGGGCATAGAGCACGTCATTTTCCGGATGCACTTTGTCGATGATTATCAAATGGTTTATGGTCTTGGCTTCCCGTTCGTTCCCGCGACGGCGTCGTCCATTGAGGGCTTGGAGGAAGTGAGCGTTGATGGCTTGGATGGTACTTGTGTTATTTGCATGGAGAACTTTGGTGAGGATGATTTTGGTGGACATGCTCGTCGCTTGCCTTGCTCTCATCTTTACCATGAAGATTGCATTGTTGAGTGGCTGGAGACCAGTCACTTGTGTCCTGTGTGCCGATACCCGATGCCTCATAATAATGCAGATTAACATGATTTTTTCTGCTATATGAATTAGAAGTTTTAAGTATAATCGACATATGTTGGGTCAATTAAGTACTGTTTGTTTGCTTCTGCAATTGAATGGTTTATTTGCTTCAATTAAGAATATAACAGTTGGCTGTTTCTTTCTTATGATTATTGATTCTTCTCAATAGGCTCAGGTAGTGAAATGTAATGTGTTGCAAATAATTTATTTTTTTTTACAAAAATAATTTGTTGCAATTTTTTTTTTTTTTTTAGGATCTTTCCTATTGAGAGGGGCGATAATATAATAAACTTACACACACTACACTAATGCTATGACTCAAACTCAGAACCACGTGGAGAAGCAATTACTCCAAATCACTACACTATAATGAGTCATTTGCAATTTGTTGCAATATTAATTCAACAAAACCTTGAGCTTAGAGCATCTCCAAGGGAAGAGGCAAATGAAATAGGCAAAATTGTACTATAACAACTTATGTGGCATGTTAATTGGACACTCTAAGGGACTAGGCAATGTAAGTCTACAAACTATTATTATATTTTTTATTTTTTATCTTTTACATCTGCTATTATATATTATAGAAAGTATGTGAGAGAGTGGATATGGTATTTTATTATAAAAAGCAAGTAGGGCCCAATATACCTCTTACTTTGAAATAGGCAATATTGCCTTGTTGGGGATAGTAGGTATATTTTGTCTAGCCATTTGCCTTTTCCCTTTGAGCATGAAAATGCTGATATGGCGAGGCAAATACGGTGTGCCTACTCATTTGCCTCTCTTGGAGATGCTAGGAAGATGTCAAATACTAAACATCAAATTTAAATTTGATGGTTGATGTGGCAATTTGACATTTACACAGTTTTACACTCCACCCAATATGTCAAATAAATAATTATTGTAATAGTCAAATCATTTAAGATAAAGAAAAAAAAATTAAAAAATAAATGAAAGTAACACCTAGCTGTCTTTAAAAAATAATAAAATATTCATGTGACATCTTGCTTTTGAAATGTCAAAAATAACATCTCAACCTCTAGCCTTCATTCCACATAAGTTTTGACATATCGGTTAGAGTGATGTGAGATGTTATTTCTAACTGTTAAATGTCTATGTAGCACTTTTGACACATCAGTTGGAGATGCTCTTATAAGGTGTACGAGATTGCTCTAGCACAGGACCCCACTAGCCACCTATAGTTTAATATAATAAATGAGTGCCCTAATATAAAATCATTCTCCTTATTTTCGTGATGAGAAGTTTAAAATCATTATTTGTTTAATATCTACGATATAGGCATCTTAAAAGTTACATATATACGAAGAATGATTTTAAATGAGAAGTTTAAATAAAAATTGAACTGATATTTTTATTGACATATCAAACTCCTTTTGTAATTTTCAATTCCCTTTTGTAAATACTACTACACCAATAGTCAATCACGATATCTAGTCCTACGGTGTTGTGGATAAGTCATGTGAGGCTACATCTTTTGTTCAAGTGACAAAAAAAAAAATTTAATGAATGTCCATATTTAACAATTCATACCCCATTCCAAAAAGGAAAAGGAAAAAATGATAAGATTAGTCAAACATTTATTTTCGTGTTTAAATTTGTTATACTTTTAGATTAGTCAAACAAGTAAATTTACAAATTCTAGAACATTAATTTTCAATTATATTATTTTATTAAAACATAATCAACAATTCTCATATTGAGTTTGCTAGTATTAATTGTCAATCTGCGTGTGAACAACTATGATGATTATTAGTCATACACATGTGGTTATCTTATCTTATGATGAGAAATAGATATATTTATATAGTCTTATGTTATTGAGGGGTTCCTTATTTGAGAGGTACACTTTGTGAGGCTCACTCCGCATTATATTTCAATTATCCAAATTATTATCTTTCAAGTCTTTATTAAGTAATCATCTTTAATTAATAATATTATACAAATGTAAACCATTAAGGTACATGTATTGTGATGGAATAGATAGACCAACATGGTTTCTTAACTATACAAACCTAATTAAATGGTTATACATTTTTCAATTTTGGTGATTTGTTGTAAAGATGATTTATGAAGTAAGATTTTAAAATTAGGTTGTCATATCGTTGGAATACAATGCATATAGCAGATTCTACACGAACGTGTCTCAAATAAACTTATTTAAGTAATACTGCAATTGAAACTCTCTCTATTTATGTGTATTCCGCTTTTAGCTTCATGCAAAATATCGAGTATCGGTTCAGACCAAAAAAAAAAAAAAAAAATATCGAGTATCGATAATTAAAGAGCAACACAATGTGCACATGAACAATTCTATAAACAGCTTATTAGTGTGAAATTCGCACCAATCAATGATTCTCAGTTATATATACGTAATTGTCTCATAAATTAATAGAAAATAGGCTTCACTCAGGAATGAAATATCTTCTAATTACTTTTTGCCAAATTTCTAATAATTTTATCTCAACTTAGAAAATTCATCCAATGAGTCAGTCCATAAACAAATTGAAACTCTAGCAATTTTCGAATTTCCAAAAAACAGAGCACATGGAAGTTGGAAACTTGAAACCAAACACAAACACAAAATAAAACTCCCCCAAAAACATATTTATATATATAAGAGAAACCAAAGCCAAAACCAAAGTCGTAGAAAGACTCGTATGGTATAAAAGAAAAGAGGCAGAGCCACCTCTTTTCTCTTCTCTCTTCTGTGTCTCTCTTAATTCAGGAAATGGAGTTGGAGCCAACAAAGATTACTTTCACTTCCTCTGTAAAACCCTAATTGTCGATCCCCCCCTCCCCCTTCTCTATTTTTCTCTTCTTTTTCTCTCAATAGCCCCCACGTTCTCTCTCTACAACCTTCGATCCCTCTCCGCTAATCGATCCACTTCAATCACTTCTCAAAAGCAGAGGAAGAAGAAGACCCTTTATTTATTTCTTTGCCCTCTCTGAAACCCCGAAATTTCCCAATCCAAAGCTCTCGATCTGTGGCGCTCGATTTGGGGGGTTGAATTTTTTTTTTTTTAGGGTTTTGGGCTTCTCGGGTCCGTCAAGGCTGGCGGGTATTCGGGTCAAGTAAATGGCGGATCCGCCTGGTATCCGCCTGCATCGCACGTGTGGTTTCTTCGAACAAAGGCTTGCAGTTGTGTGTGTATTTTCTCGATTGGGTAGGATAGGGTTACGTTCTTGCTGTGAAGAGACTGAAGATTTTTGCTGCCTAGAGTGAGAAGCGAAAAAAAAGCATGCTGAGCGTGCTACGCGTGCACCTCCCTTCGGATATTCCCATTGTAGGCTGTGAGCTCACGCCATACGTACTCTTGCGCCGGCCTGACAAGACTGTCACAACAGACGATGTGCCCGAGTCGGCCCCTCTTGATGGCCACTTCTTGAGGTACAAGTGGTAAGTGTCAATTTCCCCAATCAATTTTTAAGTTTTGTTAATTTTTTTTTTTTGCTGCTGTGAATTTGGTTTTTCGGGTGCTTTTATTCCTGAGATTTTCTGGGTTTTGAGCTTTGTTTGTGGCCTCTGGGTGGTTTGAGGTTGTTGTTGTTACTCAGGTTTAGGCAAAGATTTTAGCTTCAAGTACATCTATAGGGAAAAAGCTTCTGGGTATATAGCTTAGATGCATATTTGTAGTTTTACTTATATTTATGCTCTCTGTCTTTTCATGGGTTTTCATATGATTTCACAACATCTTTTTAAGTAGGGTTTTTTTTTTTAACAAAAGAAAAAGGTTTCTAGAGATATCTATGTCAATGTTGTGTATTTGTCTTTTTATATTCATGAGTGTTTAATTTATATTCTTGAATTTGAATACTCTATATATACAGCATTAATTTCTTGAATTGTGCAATTGAATGAATTGCAATAATTGAAAGATCTTAATAGGATCATTTACTTTAGAATAAAAGGCAAATGATTTGTCATGGATTCAGAGGCCATATGACACATTGCAACCGAGCCAAATTGCGTGATGAGTTAGGCTTTACATGTCTAGAATAGTTTGTTATAATAAGAAACAGTAGCAGAGTGATGAATGCTGAAACAGCTGTAACATTGCGAAACGTCAAAGTGTGGATACCTGTTTGGAAATCCAGGTTGCATTACTACCATTTTTTGCTACTACACGTGTTCAGGAGTGCATACTTCTCCAATGGTATGTATTAAAAATATGTTTCGAGAATTTATTGTGTGGCTGAGTGGTTGGGGCTCATAGCTCCACTGATAGGAACTTACCGCGCAGCTACCGATATAATTATTGTGCGGCTGTGTTGTGATGAAAACCTACTGTTTGGTGGGGCTTACCCCAGATTGCACCTACGACCAGAATTCATCTTTCTCTCCCCCTTCCTTTGATCCAAAAAAAGAAAAAAAAGAAAAAAAAAAGAAAAGAGAAAACCTGACGAAGGAGTTTTGGCATACTTTTTATTATCTTGCCATATTCTTTTGTGGGTTCCTTCAATAATAACCAGTTTTTGTAGGCCCATCAGATAACTAACTTAAATAAAAAACAAATTAAAAAGTAACCTGTTTTGGACTATGTCAAGTCCGGGCCATATTCGAGATTGATTTCAGATGTGGGCTGATGAGATTGGGGGTCGAGATCTTGATGCACATCTTGACTCGCGTGTTGACCCCATTTTGGTCATTTCAAGTCCAAAATAGGTTAGTTTTCTAAGTTTATTGAGAAGGGGGTAGTTTCAATAGGCCTGCGTAAATGGGTTATTTTACAAAGGAGCCCTTGTTTTGTTCTCCGTCTGATGTGTATTTAACCTCAATTCTTATCCATGGATTATACAATTTTACGGTACAAACTAGTTAGAGAGTATCTTTTAAACCTTTTTTAAATATGCAGTTTGCAATAAGTCATGTCAGGAGCTGGACTAACAATTTTCGGTCATTGAGGGGAAGAAGAAAATGTACCTATTCCTTTAAGCTTTGTGCTATGCAATTAATGAGGAGATTCCCCCATTAATGGAAAAATATTGGGCATTTAATTTGCACAGGATATTGAACGCTGTGATAATAGTTGATCAAATCAGCACACTTCAGTGGTTTATTGGGCTTAAATTTTATGCCACTTTCATTTTTTATGCAATTAACGAGGTGAGGTTTCCATCAACAAATGACAAATTATTCGGTGTAATTTGCACCTGATACTGTACGTAATGATAAGATCTTGCCGTTGTGCCCTTACTTATAGTTTCTAGTTTAATGGTGGTTTCTGTGATTTACAGTGGCCCATTCTCAATCTTGATTGCAGGTATCGTATACAAAGTGATAAAAAAGTTGCAGTCTGCAGTATACATCCATCTGAGCAAGCCACATTGCAGTGTCTAGGTTGTGTCAAGGCCAAAATACCTGTTACCAAAAGTTACCATTGTTCTCCCAAGTGCTTCTCAGATGCATGGCAGCATCACCGTGTTTTGCATGACCGTGCTGCTAGTGCTGTAAATGAAAATGGAAATGAGGAAGAAGAGGTGTTTGGGCGCTTCAATAGCTCTGGATCTGGAGTACTCAACACTAGTCTATCTGGATCAGTGTCAAGCACGAGTTTGACAAATGGTTCAGCACCTTTATATCCTGCGGCTGTTACCCAAAGGAGTGGTGGTGAAACATGGTTTGAAGTGGGACGCTCTAAAACGTATACGCCTACAGCTGATGATATTGGGCATGTTCTTAAGTTTGAATGTGTTGTGGTCGATGCTGAATCAAAAGTACCTGTGGGACATGTCAATACAATATTAACTTCCCGTGTCATTCCAGCACCCTCTCCAAGTCCACGCCGTCTGGTTCCTGTCAATGGAGCTGATGTGATGGGGCATTTGGATTCAGATGGCCGTATTTCATCTTCTGGAACATTTACTGTGCTTTCGTACAACATTTTGTCTGATGTGTATGCCACCAGTGAATCATACAGTTACTGCCCTTCGTGGGCACTTTCTTGGCCTTACCGCAAACAAAATTTGTTGCGGGAAATTGTTGGCTATCGTGCAGATATTGTTTGTCTTCAGGAGGTATTACAAATCTTACTTTTGTTGTCTAGCCAAATCGGAATGCAGAAATGTCTTATAGATATTTGGATGTATTGAGTTATGCATTATGCATGTAAAAACTGATTAATGGCCCTCTCAGGTTCAAAGCGATCATTTCGAGGAATTTTTTGCCCCCGAGCTGGACAAACATGGTTATCAAGCACTATACAAGAGAAAAACAAATGAGGTGGTCTGTTACTATCCCATATATTTATTACAGCTTCAATAAACTTCTTATTCATTATGGGGTCGTATATTTGAAAATTTCTTGCCATTAATTTGCATTCTTTGGTGTCAGGTTTTCACTGGGGGCGCACAAGCAATTGATGGTTGTGCAACATTTTTCCGTAGAGACAGATTTTCACATGTCAAAAAATACGAGGTTTGGAGAAAGAGAGAGAGAGAGAGAGTAGTGTACCTAAATTTTAGTTTTATTTGGTTCTTCTTAGTATGGAGTTTGTGTTAATGCAGGTTGAATTCAATAAGGCTGCTCAGTCTTTGACTGATGCCATGATTCCAAGTAATCAGAAGAAAAGTGCTTTAAATCGATTAGTTAAGGTGGGTTTGTTCTTTATGAATTTTATAAGTTGGACCTGATCTTTTTGAAATGATCTTGGTCTATGATGCTCATGTCTGGATCTCAATATCTGTAGGATAATGTTGCGCTCATAGTGGTTCTGGAAGCAAAGTTTAGCAATCAGGGAGCTGATAATCCTGGGAAACGGCAACTTCTTTGCGTGGTATGAGATGCATGTTGTATTGTTATTACTCCTAGATGCTTTTTGTTTTCTTTTCAACTGCCTTGACGCCAATGCACGGGCATCCTTCATGGTGTTTTTGTAATCATGTTTTTCTCGTGGTATGGAGTACAGGCAAATACACATGTAAATGTCCACCAAGATCTAAAGGATGTCAAACTCTGGCAGGTAACTCATATTTCTTAGTTCTTCCATGTGTAGTGCATTTGTTTAAATATTTTCAAGATGACATTGGATTTTGCGTTTTTCATGTTTCTTATCAGGTTCATACTCTCTTAAAAGGATTAGAGAAGATAGCTGCCAGTGCAGATATACCGATGCTGGTGTGTGGAGATTTTAGTTCAATTCCTGGAAGGTCTGTTGATTGTTTCGATGATTTTATTTTGAATTGAAAATTTATTACCGGTATGTTGCTTGCTTAAGGTACTGCTGAACTTTGTTGCAGCGCTCCTCATACACTTCTTGCTATGGGAAAGGTAGATCCATCACATCCAGATTTACAAGTAGACCCTCTTAATATACTGCGCCCTCTCAGCAAGCTGATACATCAGCTTCCACTGGTAATACATGCTTTGTAATGTACTGGTTTATTTATCAATTGTTATTACTGTTTTTTTTCCTTTTTAACTGGGAGGGGAAGATATACATGTTTTTGTGTTCTATGGCTTGTGCTGATTGTGGCTGAATCCTTATTGGAACTCACAGGTAAGTGCGTATTCATCATTCGCAAGATTGGGAGTTGGTCTAGGTATGGAGCAGCAGAGAAGGAGAATGGACCCCACCACGAATGAGCCATTATTTACAAATTGCACTAGAGATTTTATTGGTACCCTGGATTACATATTTTACACCGGTAAGTTTACAGATTACAAATTGTTTGAGCTGTTCATATTTATACCTCTTTTGATAGATCAATTCTTCATAAAGCTATTTAATGTTTGGTTGCAGCGGACTCTTTAACGGTGGAGTCCTTGTTGGAGCTCTTGGACGAGGAAAGCTTAAGGAAAGACACAGCGCTTCCTTCCCCAGAGTGGTCATCAGATCACATTGCACTTCTAGCTGAGTTTCGCTGCAAGCCTAGAATTAGACGTTGACACATTGTACTTCTAGCTGGGTATGCTTTCAAATCTTTTTTGTTTCCATCTGATTCCAGATGAATATTTTATGGTATATGTATATTTGGTCTTGGTTGAAAAGTTTGTTTGAAGGGCTTCATGTTTTTATCATTTACTAATCATTTTTCACAGATATAATGAATTACAAAGTTTGAGCTATCTATTTGTTTGTTACTTGTTGACCCCTTTTCAACTCCAGTCCATGGAAGTCACTTTAGGGAAATTGTTGGCATGAGGGGGGAAGATCAGATGCACTGGTGGAGTGCATCCAATTTAAATTAATTTACAATAAAGAATTTCTAGAGACTTTAGTTGGGTGTTTTCTGGATTGTTTTCCCTCCTTGAAAGGTTCAGAGCGTGGTGCTTAGAATACTGTAGTTAGATTGATGATTGTTTTGCCAATTATGCCAGTGTGACATCTGCTTAGTTGGTTCTGGCTAATATTAACTCATGCTTACTTTTAGAGGAGGCTCTCAGTGTGAAATATCCTACATTATTGTTAAGAGAATTGGGTTTTTTATGCAAAATTAAATGTATAATTTTTTCCGCTTATGTGGTTCTTGTGTTGATGGCAACCTCAATGCGTGTAGGAGAGAGGTCCGGAGACATCCAAGAAAAAGGCTGAGATAGAAGCTGCTGGATGAAAGTTTAGTTAATGTAAGAATGGTAGATCGTGCCCCTAGTTCTTTCCAGGTATCTCCTTGTGGGATCCTTGCAATGATCTGCTTTGTATTATGCCACCTTTGTCTTATAGAAAAGTTATTATGATGCCCTGCTCAATTGCCGATCTCGTTTTTGCCAATAGAATTTCGTAGATGCTCACCGGCTGATCATATCATCTTAGTCTTAATCCTGTACTCTAATCCCTGAAAGGCAAGTGGTTAGTGGCCTGCAATTGTTTGCACCTTTTCTTTTTTATACCTTGAGTTCTTGAAGCTCTTGTTCACAGCGCCCTTTCCCCTTTTACTTCCATTTTAATTTTTGGTAAGGGAACAAAGGATAAGGAATAAGATTTTGATTTTTTTTTTTTCGAAGGGTTCATCTTGTTTGAAGCAGGAGCTGCAATGGTTTTCTATTTCAGTGTAAATTATATAATCGTAGCCATATGTGAGGTTGCATTAGTCTTTCTGTGGTGTTTTCTGTTCGGAAGTGAATGTTGAGAGAGAATTTCCGCGAGCAAAAGGAGGGAATTATTTTTGAACTCGGGCAGTCAATGAACGCTTGTGCCACCAATCAGAATTTTTTATAAAAAGAAAGTAGTGTACAGTTTCATTCTAAATCTTAATGAACGTGATTGTACACTCGACATGAACGTGAGGGTAATCAATGTGGGCTGGTGATTTGGGCCATTGTTTAACAATTCAATTGAATCAGGATGCACATGGGGTTGATGGGTTAGGCTACAATCGTGGGTTTTGGAAAGTGAATTGGAACGCATGTTTTCCAAAATGCTTTGTCAACAGAGAGTTCTGCTACCGGTTTTGTCAACGAAAAAAGTTAAAGTGGTTAAGAGCATTCATCCTTGCATAGAAGGTCCTAGGTTTGATTTCCCCATCCCTCAATAATGCTTGTATTTAATCGTGGTCATAGAAATTTAAAAGATTATAGTCATCCACATTTGGAAGATTAAAGCGATCATCCAATTTGTTCAAATAATCCTCAACTATCTCTCAACCCTAATTTTGCAGTCCTTACCAATAAACCAGAAACCTGCCAACTTGAAGTTACCAATCTTCCAGCATCCTACAAATGCATTATGCGAGCCTTGCAAGAACTAAACTAAAACAAATTTTCTCTTATAAATCCTTCTCACAAAGGTTTCTAGAGCCTTTCCGAGTCCGTCGTCTGCCTCCTCCACGAGAAAAACTTGCATGTTTCGAGGATAATCATGCGTGACGGAATATGATTGGTTGCAAGTTGTTCTCCTCTACATGTTTGTTTTCTTAAGCTTGGCTTTGTTTTAGGTAAACAAGTACAAAGAATCTGTCCAGGCCTTGGAATCAGAATCAATCTCATTCCCGCAATAAGCCTCCCTTCTATCTGCGGATGTATCTGAATGACGTTGCATCACTGCAACCGCTGCCATGGCATTCTATTATTTGCCATATCAATGTACAAATTTTGTGCATCAGGCTTGAATATATAAAACAACCCAAAAAAACACAACAGAAAATAAATGATGGAGAGGCATCAAAAGATAAAAAGAATGAGATGGGTTAGTGAAAATCTACTTTATCTTTCTTCTGTTGGTAATTTTACAGGCTCAAGTAGGACCTTGGGGAGTACGATTGCTTTGGCAATAGTTGCAGGTTCATCGCTAACAAGATGGTGTAGCTATTAATATTTCTTGGTCAGAATGACACTTGAAATTCTAGCTACAAAAATAGGACAATGACATTTTATTTTGTTTGTCACGCAGAGTAGCAATTTTAACATCAACCAAAGTGTGATAAGTAAACATTGCACTTGCGCCATACTTGTATACTGTAAGCTCAATCAGCGTGATGCAGACCCCAAACATTTGGAAATTAAGATGGACTGAAGATGAGTATAGTCAAGCCGCCACATCCATGAAACTGCATGTCCACACCAAAACTTCTAATGTCCATGATTGAATATCCACGAATCCAAGAATAATCCTGAAAAACATATATATGGTAATCGTGCACAAGACCAGAGAGACGAAGATATCTAAAAGCTTATATCGTGATAAACAGAAGTGGAGTACCACAGCAACAATTAGATATGTTTTTTGCTCATATGGAGCTTACAGAAACCATAATATTTTCCATTACAAATATTAAGAACAAGATACAAAAATATTATGCATTATGAGGCTAATAAAGATTATTATTATTATTTTTTCGGATCAAGGGGGAGGAGGTATTTGAACTTGAGACCACTTCCAACATTAGGAAGAGAAATACCACTAGACCAAAAGCTCATTGGTAAGGCTAATCAAGATTGAATAGAAGAACTTGACATGCCACAAAAGTAAAGTACTTCAATGGATAGATTGTGATTTCTTATCTACTCAAGTTGTGGTTCGTCTGCTCTAATAGGATAGAGCTTGAGACGATATACCTTTTAATGGAAGGAAACTGAACCATTTCATCCGCAAGGTTACAAATGATATGCATTAGCTGTGTACTTTGAAGCACTGCAACTTCGGAAACAATTGAAGCAGTTCATCACGGCTCCGTTTCTACAAGAGAACAACTATACAATTAGAGAAACTGTTCCAAGTTTTAGGAGCTAAAAGTTCTACTAAATACTAACTAGATCATTACCTTAATTCCAATACAGCCATTCACGTCAAGAGTTGTAATTGTGTTTGAGCAGGTCCTTGAAAGGGACTCCAGGCATTTATCGGTCACCCCAACTATGCCAAATAAGCTGCATTTTGTCATTCACAAGTCAGTAAGATCGCTGAATATGCCTGCAGGTTATCATTCAACAGCATGGGAACCATATAGGTTCACTCAAACGAAGTGTTAACTTTTTCAGTTTATGTTGCATACATAGTTTTAAAAAATTTGATACCAGGGATTTGAACATAAATCAAGACATTTCCGAAATGTACTTTGTTTAATTTTTTCTATTGACTTATACGGCACACTGCACAAGCAAGGGCTAGTAAAAAAGTTAAGGAACTAAAGCTCCAATCAATTGCACAAAATCAATGTTGCAGCTCAATCCAGTGTAGCATGAACATGCTTCTTGGTCTCTACATGTTTTTTTACTAAATAAAGAAGGAAAAAAAAAAAAAAAGCAACAATAGTGACGACTCTTGCAGACCAGCAACTTAAGGGCATTTTTATAGTCAAAGACATTCAAATATAATAACTGCATAAGTGACCAGAGTTTCATATTTCTCAAGTCAAGAATGCACAGGCCAGTATCAAGCATTAAGTTCCTTCAAAATTTCTTTCCAAGATTTACCTGAGAAATTCAAGAGATGTGCAACCCTGCGCAACAGCTATGACCCCCACATCAGTGATACGTACACACCTATCAGAAGGTAGAGATAGTTTTAAGATTGTAATTAATGTATCTATTTTGCTTCATATACATGTTAGGAATTCAGAAGCTTCAGTTACCATGTCAAATTGAGAGACAGGAGGCTCTTACATCTAGCTATACAAGATAGCCCCTCATCTGATAGATTCTGAAATGAGATTTACCATAAGTACTTATCAAGTTATCATCAGTTTGGTAAATGGCTTCTAAAGAGTTACATCAGCATAGCTAAATCTAGTAAATTCTACCTGGCCACCACACAGATCCAAGAATTTAAGTTGGGAAAGAAGTGATATTCTCTTGTAAGCTTCATCAGTGAAGCTGAGCAAAGGAAATGCAGCCAATCAGAACACAGCAAGAAGAACATAGTTCAAATTTATACAGAGACTCCATCAAGTACCTCGATAGGGCATACAAATTAAGACTATGGAGACATGGGCAACCGTGCAATATCTGCTGCAATCCAGAATCTGTTAACTTGACACACCTGAGAATAAGAAAAAATTATAATCTGTAAGCACCAGGAGGAGGTAATATTTTTTGCAAAGGACAATCATCTCCCCACTTGACCTTTGTGTAAAAGGGAAAGTGTATTTAGAGGAGGAACTGAGAATGTCATGTCAATGATCAATTTTTAGACAGGTCATAGCCCAGAAGCCACACAATTGGAAAAAAAACTACGTTGTGACATGAAAGCAGATGAAACATTCACAGAATGATCTTTGCTAAGATGATGTAACAAAGACAAATATTTCTCACCTGGTCAGGTTCAACAACTCTAATTCTGGATAATTCTGAGCCACTAATTGCAAGCTTTTGTCTGAAAGATTCTGCGATTTCCACATCAAAATACTCCATTCAAAGAAAATCCTTCATAAAATAAATAATACCATGCATGTATGTTTCGTAATGTATAGTTTGCAACAAGCAAAGCAATGAAGTAGGATGCGACCCAGTGACAGATACCTTACAGCCACTGAAATTCAGATCAACTATGTGTTTGCAGTTCTTCACTAGGTGTGCTATACCTATATCTGTTACCCTGAAACACAAATGACATTCCAAAATTCATTGAAAATGAACAAAGCGTCAACTAGCAATATGATTTGAAATACAAATCAACCTTACACACCTCACATTCCAATAGATAGAAAAGACCTTCAGATTAGGGCAAGCACTGGTTATAGCTTCAATTCCCTTATCAGAGATCTTCTGGCAGCCATTAAGATTCAAAAACTCCAGGTTTTGAAGGGAATCTAGACACTGTAGAAATGCATAATTTTCTTTTAAACAATCAAAAGTTGTTCAAAAGCATCTATTTACAAAAAGTATTGTATACTTCACCAAGTACTCATAGAGTTTATATGAACTACGGTTAACTAAGTCACCTAGATTCTATAGTGCAGAAGAAAAAAAGTCAAATTATAATAACGGATGATCTACCATGCAGTTATAAAGGTTGGGAAAATCTAGGTCTGACAGAGAAATTAGTCTTCTTTCTATTCACAATCTCATGCTACAAAAACATGCCTTGTGCTGTAAAATCTTCAGCTCCACAAACCACAAATAATTTAAAAGATAAGGACAGAAGCTTAGTTGATTCTATAATTGGAAATTTGAAACTGTGAATCTTAACCCAAACATAGACCTAACCTCAACCAAGGGAGGTCCTAACTGTGTCTCACTTCTCATACCTTTTAAATATCAACCAATATATTAGGTAACAATATTTTATGGCTTTTTATAAGAATTTCATGCTATGCTTTCTATGTAACAAGGAATACCAATATCAGTGCCAGTAGCCTACATTACAGCCTCATTAAAATCCATTATACCGCATTTATGCTGGAAAATCAACAACATCCCAAATGCACCTTGTCAGGCATTTGTATTACTATTAGTTAAAAGTATAGACACGGTTTAATATGGAATGAAAAAATAACATTACAAACATTACAATATTTACCTTCCTTCTAATGTTCACAAGCATTATCATTAATATTTAATACGACTG